AAGCCATCCTAGGGTGGGGAGGGACCCTGCTTCAGGCCAGGGTCAGGCGGTTGCCAGTGTGGTCTTGCCTAAAAGACCCTTTTTCTTTTTCTTTCTTTTTTTTTTTTTTTGACAGAGTTTCACTCTTGTTGCCCAGGCTGGAGTGCAGTGGTGCGATCTCAGCTCACTGCAGCCCCTGCCTCCCACGTTCAGGTGATTCTGCTGCCTCAGCCTCCCAAGCAGCTGGGGTTACAGGTGTCTGCCACCATGCCTGGCTAATTTTTTTGTATTTAGTAGAGACAGGGTTTCACTATGTTGGTCAGGCTGGTCTCGAACTTGACTTCAGGTGATCCACCCACCTCGGCCTCCCAAAGTGCTGGGATTACAGGTGTGATCCACTACACCCGGACTTCTTTTTTTTTTTTTTCTCTTTTTAGGAGATGGAGTCTCGCTCTATCAGCCAGGCTGGAGTAGAGGGGCACGAGCACAGCTCACTGCAGCCTCAATCTTTTCCGCTCAAGAGATTCCCCTGCCTCAGCCTTGCAAAGTGCTGGGATTACAGGCATGAGCCACCAAGGCTGGCCCCAAAAGGCCCTTTTTTGTGATTCATGGAATAAATTCAGGAAGGAGGAAACGAAGGGGAGAGTCAGGGTGGTCGGGGGATAAGAAGGGTCTAAGGTGGGCTGCTGGGTTCAGAGGTGAGCAGAAGAGACATCGTAGGGAGGGGGGTGGGTTTGGTGGCAGAGTGAAGATTTGAGGTGGCTGTAAAAGGCAGCTAGTGGGGCCCAGAAGCCCCTGCCCACCCGCCCACCCCCAACTCACCCACACAGTTCTTGCCGTCGGGACTCAGCTCGAAGCCTGCATTGCAGACACACTGGAAGCTGCCCTCTGTGTTGACACAGCGGCCCAGGTGACAAAGGCCGCCACTGACAATGCACTCGTCCACATCTGTGGGGAAGGCAGGTGGGCAGTCAAGAGGCGCCCCCCACCCTCCAAGCCTGGGCCAGAACCCCCACCATCACCCCCACTCTCGGATGGACAGCCGTACCCACGCATGCCTGCTTGGTGGGCGTGGCCTGGAAGCCCGGGTAGCACCGGCAGTGGTAGGTGCCAGGGATGTTGACGCAGTCACCGTGGTGGCAGGGGCTACTGGTGCATTCATCTACATCTGAGAGGAGAGGACCCTGAGCCCCCGCACCAGCAGGGCAGTGAGAACCCACCCTCCCCACCTGGCTGTGGCTCACCAATGCACTCGCCACGTACGTCCTGGGTGTAGCCCACGTTACACTCGCAGCGGTAGCTGGAAGGCGTGGGCAGGCAGCGACCATTCAGACACAGGTTGGTGAAGTGTCGGCAGATGTCAATGGTCTGGTTCAGGGTAGCAGTGCCTACAGGTGGGGCCGGCAGAGGCATCTGAGCAGTGGCTGGCACCTGCCCCAGTCTGGAGCCTGGGCTTCACCTCTCTGGGCCCAGATACCCCCTCTAAGGTTGGCACCCTGCCCCAGCTCAGATTCTGCCCTCTCTCACCCGGACAGTCCTGCCTTAGATTCAGAACTCCAACCTGGGACCTAGATCCCTCCAACCTGGTGCCTAGATCCCTCCAACCTGAGGTCTAGATCCCTCCAACCTGGGGTCTAGATCCCTCCAACCTGGAGCCTAGATCCCTCCACCCTGGGGTCTAGATCCCTCCAACCTGAAGCCTAGCTCCCTCCAACCTGGGGTCTAGATCCCTCCAACCTGGAGCCTAGATCTCTCCAATCTGGAGCCTAGATCCCTCCAACCTGGAGCCTAGATCCCTCCAACCTGGGGCCTAGACCCCTCCAACCTGGGGCCTTAGATTCCTTCAATCTGGAGCCTAGATCCCTCTAACCTGGGCCCAGAGATGTCCGGACTCCCACTCTGGGCCCAAATCCTCACTATGGGGCAAGACCCCAACCCAGGCCTAAATCCTTCATCTCAGACCCCCACACCAGACCAAAACTTCCCACCCAAAGCCCAAACCCTGACTTATTTATTTTTTTTAGAGAAAGGGTCTCACTCTGTCACCCAGGTTGGAGTGCAGTGGTACAATCACAGCTCACTGTAGCCTCCAATTCCTGGGCTCCAGCGATCCTCCTGCCTCATCCTCCTAAGTGGCAGGGACTACTGGTGTGCATCACCACACCTAGCTAATTTTAAATTTTCTGTAGAGACAGGGTCTTGCTATGTTGCCCAGGCTGGTCTCAAACTCCTGGCCTCAAGCAATCCTTCTACCTCAGCCTCCGAAAGTACTGGGATTACAGGCATGAGCCACTGTGTCCAGCCCAAACTCTAACTCTGAGGACCAGATTTTCCAGTTACCTCCATCCCCATTCACTACCAGCACTGTCATCCCTACTAACCAGGCCAGGAGTTCCCCCTCCAGAGCCCTAACCCTCTCTCTGAGGCCTGGACACCCTCCCCTGTTCAGAGCTCTCTCCCCAGATCTAGGACCATCCTTCAAGTCTTGGAACGTGGCCGGGCGCGGTGGCTCAAGCCTGTAATCCCAGCACTTTGGGAGGCCGAGACGGGCGGATCACGAGGTCGGGAGATCGAGACCATCCTGGCTAACACGGTGAAACCTCGTCTCTACTAAAATACAAAAAAAACTAGCCGGGCGAGTTGGCGGGCGCCTGTAGTCCCAGCTACTCGGGAGGCTGAGGCAGGAGAATGGCTTGAACCCGGGAGGCGGAGGTTGCAGTGAGCTGAGATCGCGCCACTGCACTCCAGCCTGGGCGACAGAGCAAGACTCCGTCTCAAAAAAAAAAAAAAAAAAAAAAAAAAAGTCTTGGAACGTTCCTCCCAAGCCCCAAGTCTCACCAATATTAGAGTTGCCAGGGCCCAGGCTGGGGACCCCACGCCCATCGGAGCCATGAGGGTTGAATCGTGCCGGCCCAAGACGGGGGCCCATGCCATTGGATCCAAAACCCAGGAGGCCAGGGAAGAGGCCAGGGTGGCCGGGTAGCAGCGGCAGCCCTTGGGCGCACAGTTGCTGGAACTCATCTGCAAGGAAGCCGGGTTGAGGCCAGGCCCTTGGTCCTCCCCTGTCCCCTCCTCCCCCGCAGCCCTGCAGGCTGCAGTTCTTACTCACTGGAACCCCGAGGAGGACACAGCTCAGGGGCCGGGCCAGCCGCCCAGCACCTGCCCTTGTCGCAGCAGCACTGCCTGCGAGTGTGGTGGCCGGTGAGGTCTCCGGCACAGCGGCCCCCAAAAAGCACTGAGAAGCAGGTGCCGGCCCGGTGGTCTGTAAAACATCAGAGGGTGAGCCCATGAGCACAGGACATCAGTGACCAGACCTGGATCCAAATTCCAGCTGTAGCTGCACTGCCTGTAGGACTGGTCTGTTTGCTGCTCTGTGCCTCAGTTTCCCCTCCATAAAATGGGGACACTTGGAGCATCCACCTCACCTGGGGAAAGTATTACCTGGGTGAAAAGTCTGACATAATCCAGATGCAGTAGCTCATGCCTGGAATCCCAGAACTTTGGGAGGCCGGGGTGGGCGGATCGCTTGAGGTCAGGAGTGCAAGACCAGCCTAACCAACATGACGAAACCTCGTGTCTACTAAAAATACAAAAATTAGCCAAGCGTGGTGGCAGGCACTTGTAATCCCGGTTACTTGGGAGGCTGAGGCAGGAGAATCATGAATTGATTGAACCCAGGAGACAGAGGTTGCAGTGAGCTGAGATCCTGCCACTGCTCTCTGGCCTGGGCAACAAAGCAAGACTCTGTTTCAAAAAATATAAAGGGCCGGGCACAGTGGCTCACGCCTGTAATCTCGGCACTTTGGGAGGCCGAGGCGGGTGGATCACAAGGTCAGGAGTTCAAGAACAGGCTGGCCGACATGACGAAACCCCATGTCTACTAAAAATACAAAAATTAGCCGGGTGTGGTGGCACGCACCTGTACTTGGGAGGCTGAGGCAGGAGAATCACTTCAACCCGGGAGGCAGAGGCTGTAGTGAGCCGAGATCGTGCCGCTGCACTCCAGACTGGGCGACAGAGCAAGATTTGGTCTCAAAAATAAATAAATAAATAAAAATAAAAAAAGAAAAGTTTGAGGCCGGGCGCGGTGGCTCAAGCCTGTAATCCCAGCACTTTGGGAAGCCGAAGTGGGTGGATCACAAGGTCAGGAGATCGAGACCATCCTGGCTAACACGGTGAAACCCCGTCTCTACTAAAAATACAAAAAAAAAAAACTAGCCGGGCGAGGTGGTGAGCGCCTGTAGTCCCAGCTACTCGGAGGCTGAGGCGGGAGAATGGCGTGAACCCGGGAGGTGGAGCTTGCAGTGAGCCGAGATCATGCCACTGCACTCCAGTCTGGGCCACACAGCGAGACTCCGTCTCAAAAAAAAAAAAAAAAGAAAAGAAAAGTTTGACATGTGGCCAACGCCCGTTCAGTGCCATCTCTTATCACCAAGATTTCCAAGTTATCACACAGAGGTAGTGAGCTCCCCGTCGCTGCAGGCATCCAACCACACTAAGGAAGACCCATTGGCGCGGAAGGACTGCCCCAGTGGGATACCAGTCAGGGACACCGAGATCTGCAGCTGTGTGTCTTTGCTTGCTGGCTTCAGGCATTTCGCAGCAGCCTAATGTGAATTTCAGAAAGGGGTCCCAAGGAGTCGAGGGGATGGATTGACGGCCACAGCCCCCAGGGAGACTGAGGCAGACAGGCTCCCCAGGTATGAGAACCACCAACACTCTTCCACTTCCCACTGTGCCCTCAAGGTCAATGACTTTATGCAGCGATCAGATTTCTCAGGCTCTGGCTTAAAGAGCATATTTTTAGGCTTAAAAATGCACAGAGTTTGGCCGGTAGCCCACAGTTTAAAAAACTCCTCCCAGGCGCTGGGAGGGCCACTGAGAGCCGCCCCTGACCTGCCCCAAGCTGGGAAAACACGCAAATGTTTCCACCTCTCTGGTCCCCGCCCTGTGCACCTGGGGACCCCCCAGGTACGTGTGTGGGAGTCAGGGTTTTTCGTTCTCAGTCTCATCATAGCCCCTCAAAGGGGGCTGGGCCTGCCCAGACGAGGAAAGGTCAACAGACTCCTCCAAAGTCACACAGCTGCAAAAGCGGGAGGAGGACGGGAAACTCGATTTCCCAATCTCAGGGGGCCCAACAGGCAACAGCCCCTTAAGCAAGAGAGACAGAATATAAGAATTTTAACAAAAATGCTCAGGCACGGTGGCTCATGCCTGTAATCCCAGCACTTTGGGAGGCCGAGGCGGGTGGATCATCTGAGGTCAGGAGTTTGAGACCAGCCTGGCCAACATGGTGAAACCCCATCTCTACTAAAAACGCAAAAGTTAGCCGGGCATGGTGGTGGGTGCCTGTAATTCCAGCTACTGGGGAGGCTGAGGCAATCGCTTGAACCCAGGAGGTGGAGGTTTGCAGTGAGCTGAGATCGTGCCATTGCACTCCAGCCTGGGGGACAGAGCAAGACTGTGTCTAAAAACAAGAAAATAAGAGAATGTTATCAAAAACGATCCTGTCATTGCTGTAAGTACACATCGTGAGCTAAGTGGTCACAGCCTCAACCTCACCTGCTGTGCATGAATGTGTATTAAGTATCCTGTAAGGCACCAGCCCTCTGCAAATTACTCCCCAAAAGATATCTTCCCCAGTCTTCACTGAGCTAGGTACTGCTATCATCTACCATTTTACAGATGGGGAAACTGAGGCACAGAGCGATTAAGTCACTTGCCCAAGGCCACAGGGTCTGTGAGCTGCCCTGGGTGGGAGTCCCGGACTGATTCCAAAGCCTGTGTTCAGAGGCTGGTTTGTCAAATCCAGGGTCTCCTCTTTAGCAGTGGACAGAGGACCCCGCAGTCCAGGGGATGTGTCCACTGCTACCCCAATGCCAGCTGTGGTGGCCCCCTGTGGTGGAGACCTAGAAAGTCTGGAGTTGGCCACAGCATACTGGCTGAACTCCAAACACAATATTCTCAGCCCTGCCTGGTAGTGGCCTAACCTGAGGTGACCAGGGTGACGCTGGAAAACCTCCAAGCACCCACTCCTGTCTCCCCAAACCAGGACACTGTCCATCCTCCACCACCAGCGTTCATGCTCCTGGCCAGCCCTATTGGCCACAGGCAACTTCTAGGGCCTGACATTCAGCTCATCAAGACAGCAAAAGAAGGAGTGAGAGGCCTAAGCGCACAGGATCGGGGGTGAGTTCCCGCTTGGCCAGGCCAAGTGTCGGGGGGTTGCTGAAGGGTGGGCCTGCAGGGGGAGCCACAGCCCAAGGGACCGCCACCCGGGCAGGGGGTCTGGGGAATTGAGTGTGTTCTGGACTTGTGGACTGGACTCAAGCAAACCTCCCCTTTCTGGGCCTGTTTCCCCATCTCAAAAATGGTGGGGCCGGGTGCGGTGTGGCTCACGCCTGTAGTCCCAGCACTATGGGAGGCCAAGGGAGGTGGATCACCTGAGGTCAGGAGTTCAAGACCAGCCTGGCCAACATGGAGAAACCCCATCTCTACTAAAAATACAAAAATTAGCCAGGCGTGGTGGCGGGCACCTGTAATCCCAGCTACTTGGGAGGCTGAGGCAGGAGGATCTCTTGAACCCGGGAGGCAGAGGTTGCAGTGAGCTGAGATTGCGCCACTGCACTCCAGCCTGGGTAACAGAGCCAGACTCTGTCTCAAAAAAAAAAAAAAAAAGAGAGAGAGAGAGAGATAGAGCTGAACAAGGTGGTCTCGCTCCTACCCGCTCTCTCCCCCTCCAGCCCCTCGGTTCACTGAGGCAGTGGGTGCCATCCAAGCTGCAGGGAAAACCTCGGGGACAGGGACACACGTAGCTCCCGACAGCGTTGGTGCAGTCACCCCGGAGCAGAGGCCGGGCACGCGGAGACGCTCATTCACATCTACATAGACAGGCACAAGGTCAGAACTGGGCACCTCACCAGCCTGACCCCTCTGCCTTCCTGCAGGGGAGCCTGAGCCCCCCCAGACACGAGTCACGGAGGAGCTCCCAGGTTGTCCCTCTCCAGTCACCCACCTTCACATGCAACACTGCTGTCACCGAGCCGGTGTCCAACTGGACAGTGGCAATGGAAGGAGCCCACCGTGTTGACACAGCTGCCTCCCTGGCACAGGCCTGGCACGCCCTGGCACTCATCCACATCTGCAAGGACAAAGCCCAGCAAAGGAGTGAGAGGCCCATCAGAAGGAAGAACCAAGCTGGCCAAGGCCTCCCACTCAGCCCTGACCCCACTATTCACCTTGGCAGGCCCCCGTGTGGATATTGGGGATGAAGCCTCGGCGGCAGGGGTGTGGCTGTGCAGGGCAAAGTTCACATGGAAGGCCCCAGGCACGGCCCACAGTGGCACAGCAAAGTGCCTTGGTGCACACGAGGCCTGTCAGCTGATGCTGGCACCCCTCGGGGCCCACTTGGCCAAAGCAGGGTCCCGTCCGGTAATCTGCAGGGCAGACAGATATGGGTACCTGGCTGAGGACTGCCCCTGTCTAGAGATCTCTGCGTCTCTAACACCTTCTCAGCGCCCCCTGCACCCACAGACCAGGCTTTACTTATGCTGCTCTCTTCCTAAATAGAATATCTTTCCTCCCTTTTCCCTACCTAACGAACTCCTATTCACCCTTCAAAACCCTTTTTTTTCAAAGCATTTCCTGACCAACTTCCAAGAGAGAGACTAGGATCTCCAAGCCCGTAAAGCTCAGGGCCTGTGTGAACACCCTGTCTGAACTGATGGGACTCCTTTCCCAGGCCTGTCCTCCCTTCAGGCCTGGGCAGGAACCCACGGACGCCCAGCTAAAAGGCATGTCTAGTACTTGAGCATATGCCTGGCCCTGCCATATCGCCCAGATTTGGGGAAGAATCTGTTATCTGCCTAAATTCTCTGGACCCCCAACATCACATCCTCAGTCCCCCTCAGCCCAGCCCAAGGTGACCGCATTGGTTCCCCCAACCCCAGTACATGAGCCCAGATGCGACTTCTTGGCTCTCTTCTCCAGATGTTTCCAATAAAGGAGTTAGCTCTCAAACAAGGGCAGCCCCTCCCAAGAGAAGAAGCCAAAGTCACCCCCAACTCAGGCCCCATAAGGAGGAGGGGCTTCACAGAGACCCCCCACCCCCAGGCTGTCCTGATGCCAAAATGCAATTCCTGGTAGCTCCCGCACTTCCCCCTCCCCCTCACTCCCCTGCCACCCAGAGCTTGGCCCGCCTCCAACAGCCCATGTTCCAATTCTGCAGTTTCCAGAAGCCCACCCTCAAACCCAGGTCACTTCCCCAGCCCCTCCAGCTTCTAGTACCCAGGTCCTGCCTATCCTCGCCTTCCTGGGTTGAAACGCCACGCCAGGCACTCAGATGCCTCCTGCCTCTGAAAATCTCACAAGCCTGGACGTCCCTGACACCACCCACTCCTGTTCTCTTTCTCTTTCTCAGCCCACTGTGGGCTCTGTTTTTCCTGTCTGTGCTTAAATGTCCAGGTAGCTGTCTCTGCTAGTGCTACTTTCTCTAGCGGGGATCCTCAGCTGAACCCTGGGCTTCAGTCCCCATGGACGGAGCAGCTCCCGCCGCCATCTCAGCTCCAGGCCTAAGTGTCCAGCTGCTTCCTGGACAGCTTGCAAGTCCCCCAGCCAACACAGAGCTCAGTCTTCCTCCTCCCTGCCGGGGTGCACCACTAGCTTCCCCCCAATTTTCAGACCAGGCCTGGGGTTCATCTTGACTCCTTCTCTCTTCTCTCCCCATCGCTGC